TATGATAAAACAGACTTTAAACCAACAAAGGTCAAAAAAGACAAAGAAGGGCATTACGTAAGGGTAAATGGAATCAATGCAAAAAGAAGAGCTAACTATCCTAAATATATATTCAGCCAATATAGGAACACCCATATTTATAAAACAAATTCTTAGAGACCTACAAAGAGTCCTAGACTTCCACACAATAATGGCGGGAAACTTTAACACCCCACTGTCAATATTATACAGATAAACAAGACAGAAAACTAACAAGGATATTCAGGACTTGAACTCAGCTCTGGACAAAGCAGACCTAATAGATATCTACAGGACTCTCCACCTCAAATCAACAGAATATACATTCATCTCAGCACCACATACCACTTATTCTAAACTCAACCACATAATTAGAAGTAAAACATTCCTCAGCAAATGCAAAAGAACAGAAATCATAACAAACAGCCTCTCAGACTACACTATAATCAAATTACAACTCAGGATTAAGAAACTCACTCAAAACCATGCAACTACATGGAAATCGAACAACTTGCTCCTGAATGACTACTGGGTAAATAACGAAATTAAGGCAGAAATAAAGAATTTCTTTGTAACCAATGAGAACAAAGAGATAATGTACCAGAATCTCTGGAACACAGCTAAATCAGTGTTTAGAGGAAAATTTATAGCACTAAATGCCCACATCAGAAAGCAGGAAAGATCTAAAATCAACACTCCAACATCACAATTAAAAGAACTAGAGAAGCAAGAGCAAACAAATTTGAAAGCTAGCAGAAGATGAGAAATAACAGAGGTCAGAGCAGAACTGAAAGAGAGACACAAAAAACCCTTCAAAAAAATCAATGAATCCAGGAGCTGGTTTTTTGAAAAGATTAACAAAATAGATAGACTGCTTGCCAGGCTAATAAAGAAGAAGAGAGAGAAGAATCAAATAGATAAAATAAAAAATAATAAAAAGGGTATCACCACTGATCCCACAGAAATACAAACTACAATCAAAGAATACTATAAACACCTCTATGTGTATAACTAGAAAATCTGTAAGAAATAGATAAATTTCGGGACACATACACCATCCCAAGACTAACCCAGGAAGAAGTCGAATTCCTGAATAGACAAATAACGAGCTCTGAAATTGAGGCAGTCATTAATAGCCTACCAACCAAAAAAAAAAGCCCAGGATAATACAGATTCACAGCCAAATTTTACCAGAGGCACAAAGGGGAGCTGGTACCATTCCTTCTGAAACTATTCCAAATGATAGAAAAAGAGGGACTCCTCCCTAACTCATTTTATGAGACCAGCATCATCCTGATTCCAAAATCTGTCAGAGACACAACAAAAAAAAGACAATTTCAGGTCCATATCCCTGATGAACATCAATGCAAAAATCCTCAATAAAATACTGGCAATCCAAATCCAGCAGCTCATCAAAAAGCTTACCCACCATGACCAAGTCGGCTTCATCCCGGGGATGCAAGGCTAGTTCAACATTTGCAAATCAATAAACATAATCCATCACATAAACAGAAAGCACATGATTATTATCTCAATAGATGCAGAAAATGCCATTGATAAAATTAAACATCCCTTCATGCTAAAAACTCTCAATAAACTAGGTATTGATGGAACATATCTCAAAATAATAAGAGCTATTTGTGACAAACCCATAGCCAATATCATACTGAATGGGCAAAAGCTGGAAGCATTCCCTTTGAAAACCAGCACAAACAAGGATGCCCTCTCTCACCACTCCTATTCAACACAGTATTGGAAGTTCTGGCAAGGGCATCAGGCAAGAGAAAGAAATAAAGGGTATTCAAATAGGAAGAGAGGAAGTCAAATTGTCTCTGCTTGCAGATGACATGATAGTATATTTAGAAAACCCCATCATCTCAGCCCAAAAGCTCCTTAAGCTGATAAACAACTTCAGCAAAGTCTCAGGATACAAAATCAATGTGCAAAAATCGCAAGCATTTCTATACATGAATAATAGACAAACAGAGAGCCAAATCATGAGTGAACTCCCATTCACAATTGCTACAAAGAGAATAATACCTAGGAATACAACTTGCCAGGGATGTGAAGGACCTCTTAAAGAACTACAAACCACTGCTCAAGGAAATAAGAGAAAACACAAACAAATGGAAAAATATTCCATGCTCATGGACAGGAAGAATCAATATCGTCAAAATGGCCATACTGCCCAAAGTAATTTATAGATTCAATGGTATTCCCATCAAGCTACCATTGGATTTCTTCACAGAATTAGAAAAAAACTACTTTTAAATTACATATGGAACCAAAAAAGAGCCCGTATACCCAAGACAATCCTAAGCATAAAGAACAATGCTGGAGGCATCATGCTTGTGACTTCAAACTATACTATAAGGCTGCAGTAACCAAAACAGCATTGTACTGGTACAAACACAGATATATAGACCAACAGAACAGAAAGGAGGCCTCAGAAATAATGCCATACATCTACAACCATCTGATCATTGACAAACCTGACAAAAACAAGTAATGGGGAAAGGATTCCCAATTTAATAAACGGTGTTGGGAAAACATTACTGAAATAAAATAAAGAAGACATTTTGTGGTCATAGATTGGAATACTTAACATTGTTAAGATGGCAATGCTTCCCAAAGTAATCTACAGATTCAATGCCAACTCTATCAACATTCCAATGGTTTTTTTCCAGAAATGGAAAAGCTGACTCTCAAATTTATACAGACTTGTAAGGAGCCAGGAATACTCAAAACAATATGGATAAAAAGAACAAAATGAAGGATTCACATATTCCAACTTCTAAGCTTTCTACAAAGCTGCAGTAATGAAAAGAATACGGTACTGGCAAAGGGATAGACACATAGACCAGAATAGAATTGAGAGTCCAGAACTAAACCTGTAAATCTATAACCAACTGATTTTTGACAGGGCTGCCAAGACCACTCAATTGAGGAAAAAACTGTCTCTTCAACAAGTAGTGCTGGGACAAGTGGTTATCCACATGCAAAATAATGAAGTTGGACCCTTAACATACACCATTTGCAAAAGTCAACTCAAAATGGATCAAAAATCTGAATATAAGAGTTAAAACCATAAAACTATTAGAAGCAAACTTGGAAGAAATCTTCATGACCTTGGATTTGGCAATGGATCCTTAGATATGACTCAAAAACACAAGCAACCAAAGACGAAATAGAGAAATTGAACTTTCTCAAAATTAAAAACATTTTTACATCAAAGGACATTATCAAGAAAGCGAAAAGACTACCCACAGAATGGGAGGGAACATTTGCAAATCATGTATCTGATAAGGGTCCAGTAACCAGAAAATAAAAACAATTATTAAAGGTCAAGAACAAAACCAAAAACAATCCAATTAAAAACGGTCAAAGAATGTGAAAATACATTTCTCCAAAGATGTACAAATGGCCAACAAGCACATAAAAACATACTCAATGTCATTAGGCATAAGGAAAATATAAATCAAAACCATAATGAGATACTATTTCACACCCACTATGATGGCTATAATTTTTAAAAAGGGGGACAGATAACAGGTATTGGTGAAACTGAAGTCCTCAAACGTTGGTGGAGATGTAAAATGGTTCAACCACTTCCTAAAACAACGTGGGACTTCCTCAAAAAGTTCAATGGAGTTCCCATATGACCCAGCAATTCTACTCCCAGAGAATTCAAAACAAGTCTACAAAAGAACTTGTACACAAATGCTCATAGCAGTATTGTTCACAATAGGCCCAAAGTGGAAACCGAAATTTGGTAAATTTCAAAAGCTAGATTAAAATATACTATATCCCTACAATGGAATACTAATCAGCCATAAAAAGGAATGAAGTACCATTATGGACTGTGGAATTGGCAGTAACTGGTTCATGGGTGTGGGTTTTAATTTGGTGTGGTGGAACCACATAGGAGTGACAATTGCACATTTACATGAACTAAATGCCTTTAATTGTTCACTATAAAATACTTAATTTTATGTTATATGAATATCACCTCAATTTTTTTTTTTTTTTTTTTTTTTTAGATGGAGTCTCACACTGTCACCAAGCTGGAATGCAGTGGTGTGATCTTGGCTCACTGTAACCTCTGCCTCCCGGATTTAAGTGGTTCTCCTGCCTCAGCCTCCTGAGTAGCTGGAATTACAGGTGTGTATCACCACGCTGGCTAATTTTTGTATTTTTAGTAGAAATAGAGTTTCACCATGTTGGCCAGGCTGGTCTTGGACTCCTGACCTCCAGTGATCCTCCTGCCTCAGCCTCCCAAAGTGCCTGGTCCTCAATTTTTAAAAATGGGGCTGGCCAGGCACGGTGGCTCACGCCTGTAATCCCAGCACTTTGGGAGGCCGAGGCGGGTGGATCACGAGGTCAAGAGATCCAGACCATCCCGGTCAACATGGTGAAACCCTGTTTCTACTAAAAATACAAAAAATTAGCTGGGCATGGTGGCGCGTGCCTGTAGTCCCAGCTACTCAGGAGGCTGAGGCAGGAGAATTGCCTGAACCCAGGAGGCGGAGGTTGCGGTGAGCCGAGATTGCGCCATTGCACTCCAGCCTGAGTAACAAGAGCGAAACTCCGTCTCAAAAAAAAAAAAAAGAAAAGAAATAAATAAATAAAAATAAAAATGGGGCTACAAGGGAGGTTAGTATTTTGCGAGGGGAAGTAAGGAAGGCAAGGCTTTTGTTAGGGGAAGTTGGGGAGGGAAGGTCTTCCAGAAGAGAGTTTAGGCGGGAAAGACTTCCTGCCACCCAGGCGTAAGAGAATAGGTCTTTATGAAGGGAGGTGAGAGAGGGGAGGACTTTGTAAGGAGGACTGCTGAGGATAGGGCCATAAAGGCTTTCGGGAGGAGAGAGGACAGGAGGGGGCAGGGTTGGTGCCACAGGTCGCCACACCCCACCCCTCCCCATCCCCCAGTCCCCCAGTCCCCAAGCATTTCCCTGGCTGGCCGGGAGCCAGCACTCACCACTCACCGGGGTACATGTAGTAGTACACCAACAGCAGGATGCAGATAGACAGCGTGAACAGCCAGAAGCGCTTGTTGAGGCACATGTTTGTCACAGAGCGGTGAGCCTGAGCCCGGAAGCCATGCAGAGATGCCCGCCATCCTGGCCTAGGCCCGTTACCCATTGCAGCCTCATGCCCGGGATGGCTGCTCTCGGGATTCAACTCGCTTGCCGCTGCCTCAGAAGTTGCCTTCTTTAAGCGAGCCACTTTCGCGACCCGGGACCTTGACCTATTCCTCCGCTTCACTTTTCTCTGATCTGAAGGCATGGCTCCGTGTACTGCCTTGGTGAGACGCCGCCTCACTGTCCAACGGTCTGTGACTCATAAGCTTCCGGGGCAGTCCCTGACCCCAAAGTTCCGGCGCAGCCCGTGACCCAGTGATTCTTGCGTGACTTGTGCCAACCCTCGCGATGTCTGAAAGTGATTCCTTCACAATGATGTCTTCTGATACATTCCACAGGTCCAGACCCTTATAACCACGTGGCCAGCGTTTGGCGCACCCCCATACTCCTACTCAAAGCCTGGCGCTAGATGCTTGTTAAATGCTTCCAGAGCAAGTGAACGGGGCTTGAGGCCTGCACCAGCGGCATAACTGCTTGTCATAGATCAACAAAAAGGAGTAACTCGGATTCAGACTCCAGCCTTGGCTGTTAATTCCTCCTCGTTCCTAGAGTGCATACTGTAGTGTACAGTCACTACAATTAGTCATTACAGCGCTCGCGACAGCATCTGCTAGCCAAATGTGGCTGTTTAAATGTAAATTTCAACTACTTAAAATTAAATAAAATTAAGAAATCAGTTCCTCAATCACAGTAGCCACATTAACACGTGCTCAATAGCCACATGTGGCTCATGGCTGCCATCCTGAACACTGGCAACATAAATACTCATATATATATATATATATATATATATATGTATGTATTTAAGAGGGAGTCTTGCTCTGTCGCCCAGGCTGGAGTGCAGGGCACGGTCTTGGCCCACTGCAACCTTCACCTTCCGGGTTCAAGCAATGCTCCTGCCTCAGCCTCCCGAATAGCTGGGATTACATGTGCATCCCACCACGCCTGGCTAATTTTTGTATTTTTAGTAGAGACAGGGGTTTCACCATGTTGGCCAGGCTGATCTTGAACTCCTGACCTCTGGTGATGCCTCCCACCTCAGCCTCCCAAAGTGCTGGGATTACAGGCATGAGCCACCACACCCAGCAGGAGCATTTTCATCGTGGCAAAAAGTTGTCTTGGGCAGTGCTGGATGTGAAGAGTGAGTAGTGAATATCATAGATATTCAATAGATTGTTGTGCTTTAGTAGAAGCCTTTAAGTGTGGGACAAAACGCTATTTGCCTTATGAGACCTTAACACTGAGTTACAAATAAATAAAACAATAGGACAACATGAGAACAAAAAATGTGTGAGGAACACTGAAGAGTGACTAAAATCATTTACATTTTATTGCCATAATTACCACCCATGAACTGGGTGGCTCTAAGTAAATGTCCTCCTCCCACTAGACCTTGGTTACTCATGTAAAATGAGAGGGCTGTACATTGTTGCTAAACCCCATTTTGGCTCTAAAATCTGACCCTTGGGCAAAATCCCATTACCTTCGTTGGTTTGGCCACACCTGCAAAAGGATTGTGTAGGTAATGCTTCCATAACTGTTAGCCTACCACATTCTAGTTTACAAGGGATATGAAAACCATCCTCAACTGCACTTCCATCCTTATTCGTAATTATATTATACGCACTTTCCAAAGGAGTTTCTATTAATTTTATTCTATTGTTATTTCCAGTGTTACTAGACATCCCACAGAGGACGGCAGGAGGCTTCCTCTTCCAACAATTCTTGAAACTTAGCAGACTCCATCCATCCCAGCCCCATGCCCAAGAGCCATTCATAATGCTCTTTCCTTTATTCAAGAGTCTAACAGGAAAAGAACCCATTTTCCTTTTATAGTTTTTTAAATCATTTTTCTGGCTTCGGCTTTTCCAAAATTAATTTGATGAGAGAATTGTTATTGCACAAAACATTTATTAATAGCTTCTGAAACTACTGCTTGCAGCTGTGAGGAACTGTGAAGTATCTGAGATTTTACTCTGCTTTCAAGTAAAAAGGTAACTAGTGTCAGTTTTATAGATGCTGGCAGAAGATGCAAGACTACTGAGTCAGACACAAAGGACAAAAGCTCTTCTGAGGCATGCAGAAACTCAACAAATCAATGGAAAATTGCCTCCCAACAGCAACGTGTTTATGTCACAGCACAGGAGGGAAATGATCATATGACCAGACACTGCACAGCCACCCTGAAGTCTCAGAAAAATCAAGCTGGAGCACACCATTGGGAACTCAGCTCTTTGCCATCTCACAGGTTGAGCTCTCTTAGCCCTTAGTTTCTCCCATCTACCAATTAGGGGCTGTGGATAGCCTGATTGGGAAGATGCTTGACTATAGCATTTGAGGTTGCTGCAAACATGTAAAGCGTGGCAGTTCTACTACAATGTAATCCACCGTATACCATTAGAAACCCAAATTACTAACAGGAACTCAAGGGACAAAATCTGTAAGATTACAACTCAGCACTTCCTGGTTTACACAACGTTAATTCAGGTCACTCGCACAAAAAGCCATGCAAAGTGGCCATTTTATAGATTATCAGATGTAAATTTAAAATCCTTCACTGGCTTTCCTCTTTTGTCCTGTATGCTCAAGGGAGCTACATTTGATACTAAACAACCCAGACCTAATTAGAGATAAAAATGTATTGCATGGGCATGAGTACAAGAATTCTTCATGAGATGATACATACCACTGCTCACAATGTAACTACTGTTCAGAATAGACACTTTTTTTTTTCCAAATATCACCACAGACAGACATGAAAAGATGCCTGACCTCAGGTAATCATGGGAATATAAGTTAAATCAATAAAGAGATATGTCACACTGATCAGATTAGCAAAAATCAATAAATATCCACACAAATATATAGAAATAAGACTTTGGTCATTGTTGGTGGGGTTACAAATGGGTACAACCACTTTGGTGAGTTGTTGTTGTTGTTGTTGTTTGAGACAGAGTCTCACTCTGTCACCCAGGCTGGAGTCCAGTGGTGCTATCTCAGCTCACTGAAACATCCACTTCCTGGGTATAAGAGATTCTACTGCCTCAGCATCCCAAGTAGCTGGGACTACAGGCATGTGCCTCTGTGCCCCAGCTAACTCTGTATTTTTTAGTAGAGGCAGGGTTTCACTATATGTTGACCAGGCTGGTCTTGAATGCCTGACCTCAGGTGATCAGCCCATCTTGGCCTCCCAAAGTGCTGGGATTATAGGCATGAGCCACTGTGCCTGACCCACTTTGGTGATTTTTTAACAACACATTGTAAAGTTAAATATTCACATATTCTGTGACCTAGGAATTCCACTTTTAGGTATCTAAAAGTGGCATGTGTACAAGGAGACATGTACAACATTATTCATTGTTATAGTGGAAATAACATAAATGATGTCTCAGTAGGGTAATAAAAGCAAACTAGTTCATTCCTATAATGTATAATATAACATTTAACAATAGTCAGGATCAATAGCCCTAGCCAAGGTAGTAATTATCTTTTTTTTTTTTTTACTGGTTTGCCTACCAGCGTGAGGTGACAGTCTCAGCTTCTAATTGAGTGGAATTATTATTGTGTTCCCTGAAAGAAATGTTGAATAATAATAAACTTCTATTTCTAAAATAGCAGAAGCCAAAGTTGTGAGAATAGGAAGCAAAACACAATTTTTTTGTGGATTATGAGGTGTCACAAGTAGGTCTATAAGAGATGATTTCATTGTTTTATTAGGTTGTCTTCTTCTAGATGAGGTGGCATGTGGCAAAACCAGTGAAGTCAACAGGCTTCAGTTCTTTCTTGTACTTAGATCAGGGTAATGTGAGTTCTTTAGATGGAAGCAATGTTGTGTTAGATACAATAGTGCTTCAATAGGTATTCAATAAATCTATAGATGGTAGGGCTAGCAGAGTTACTATAAAAAGGAAAATAAATCCAATTCCTGTTTGTAAACAGGAAAACAAACAACTCCGATCTATTCAAGTTAAGAAAAAAGTCACTGTCCAGTTTGTAATAAAAGGAGTCCGAAGTAATGGAACTGTCCCAAGATGGCTGGATGGTACCCATAGGATATTATGCCACATCAGGGTCCCAGGGTTAATGGCTGCTGCTGGTAAATTGGGCATCCAAGCAGTAGTAATAGTAAGTTTTGGTGAGAGGAAATTCTTATTATTGAGTCCATGCATATTTTCATTTCTGTCTCCAAGGTCACTGAATGGGCATTACGTCCATCTGACTATTTGGCACCTCTCCTACAAAGAGAACCTTTTGATAAATATTCATATGCAAGACCTATATTCTAGATCAACTCACATACTTCTTTCTCAAATTTCCTTGCTATCAATCCTCCAAACTTGCTCCTTCCAAGACCCAGACCATCCAGCCGCAACATTAGCCTCTGCCATGAGTCAGCATAGATCCTTGCCACAGCCTTTCTCTTCTACCTGGCAAACAAGGCAAGTTCCAGATGAAGGGGACAACCAAATATATGACTTGAAGTTCTGCCCAGCAGGTAGATTTCCCTTCCCCACCATCCTACAGATCACCTATGAGTGGAGCCGTATTGACACAGGAATCTACTTATTCCTAAGAGAGAACTATTCTTTCTGTTCTCTTTCGCTGATCATTGTTGTTTCTGGATGAGCTGCAGCCATCTTGCTGCCCGTATAAGAATGAAGTCAATATGGAGAATGGCAGAAAAGAGGAACAGGAAGAACCTGAATACCTAATGATAGCATTGAACTACCCCGAAACTTGACCCATTGTGAAACTTCCAGTTTGTGAGATAATATATTTCCTAATAGTTTTAACCACTTCGAGTTAGTGTTTCTGTTTCTGACAGCCAAATGCTTTCTAACTAATATAGTTGTCCAAACTTTCTCTCTTGTGTATTACTTGATCACCTAGTCAAAATCCAATGCTCTCAGAAGAAAATACCCCAAATTTGAATAACACATAGGCATAGCTGCATATACAGAGAGATCCATGTATTTGTTGAGTGAATGGATGGATAAAGGAATAAATGTTCTTAACTACTATTGCTCTAAGCAAAATCCTCTGTTTCTTGACTACTATCTGTATCAGTCAGGGTTTATTTGCAGATGACTAGAATAGTTAGTTAGCTAGTTAGAATACATAAGTAGATATTTTAAGCAAAGAGGGATTTTAATATAGGGAATTT